TTGCTGCTTTTTATCTGTGATTTTTACTACTGACGCTTGGCAGACACACATTCATCTTCCTTTCATTACCAGATAATCAGCAAAGGAAATGTGACAAGATGTGATGTAACTGGAAAATGTCACAGAGGGAAAATCTGAAATGTGGTGAACATGTCATGAGGGCAAAACAGAAACTAAAAACCAAAAAGAAAGTAACAAGTAGAGGTCAGACATGTTTTACCAGCTGCTTAAGGAAAAGATAAATACATTTAATTAGATCATTTACCTCTGTATTATTAGTGAGTTTGAATTTCGACTCAGCTGGTATGAGTAAATAGTTTTTAACACATCCAAACATTTAACATTAGGTGCTAACTAATAATAATGTCCAGAGAGGTGACCTCAGCTCAGGAAAAGTCAACATGGGTGACTTAGGACCAAAATGAGTCGTCAACATCCCTGACTTACTACCACATGTTTCTTAGCTCTTTAATGTCTTTAAGAGCATCAGACCACCATAAATTCCTCCAAATGGCTTAAAAGGGTTTTTTCACATTCCACAGCTAACTTCAGGTCGCACATATAAATCATTAAAAACAAATAAAGCTTAAGGGCCCTGACACGCCAAGCCGACAGTCTCTGTGGAGGACTGTCGCCTGAAGTTTTTTCAGGGCTTGAGGAATGACCGCCGTCAGCGTTGTCATGCTCTAAATAAAAGATTGGGTGCTTTTTAACCTGGTAGTCAGGAACCCATAAGAGGTTAAAAGAGGATTCTTAGGTTCTGTCTTCATGTATACAGAAGTTTTTTAAAATGGAAATATTTTGCTTCAGATTGAAAAAGCACTCTTGTCCACAAGACCTTAGCTTTACAAAATGTCTCCGTCCACACTGGAACGCAAAAACGTATCTATGTGCTCGCCAGTGTTAGCTGTCTTCAGCAGATCTCATCACTGTTGATTCCCCTTTAATATAAAGACCAAGGAGCTCAAGCAATGCTGAGTTTTCCTTCCACTCCTCACTGACAACAATCCCACTGTTAAAGTGTCCCACCATTTAGCGGTTCAACCAGTCCTGATGATCCAAAACGGTCGTCTCTGGCAGACTTTAAACCGTAGACGCTGAGGTGGAGGAAATAACATTGGGTGCAGCTGATGACTCAGTTCGTCTGTGAAGGGGTGCAGCAGTACTAAGTTTAAGTGTCAGGGAGTCATTCGTCCAAGAAGTGCAAACAAAACATAAAAAAGTAGTTAAAAGCAATGCAAAGCAACAAAAGACATGCACGAGTTGACAAAATGACGTCATTGTTTCCCAAATGCTCCGTTTTACACATAAGCAAAGATAAACAGTTATCAGAGTTTTGAAAAATACACACCTTAGAAGGAATTGTTAAAAAAAAAAAAAATCTCTGTTTTAGTGTTTAGTGACCTGAATCTCTGTCTGCATGTGGACAAGAATTAGCAGAATCACAAAATATCTGTATACATGTAGACAGGGCCAAAGGGATCTTAGGATGATCACCAGAGTACGAAACTGGTGTACAAAACTACTACTACTTTTTTCTCTCAGCTTTGACTCCTCTCTTGTAAATAATGTATAACTCTCTAAGAGTCTGTTGTACCAGCTCTTCGTAAGTTCAAACGTAGCCTAGTCATAACTAAAGTGTTTTAATACATTTATCACTAAAAACTGTTCTTACAGAGGGAATAGATTAAAAATGTTGAAGAAATACTTGAGTAAGAAGTCAAGTATAATAACTTGAGCATGTCAGCTACAGAAACATAGTGTCTCTTCTTGTACTCTTCTGTTTCTATCAGTTATCCCATAAACAGGAACACTTTTCACAGTTTCTGAAGTCAGTGTTACTGTGACTGAGCTCCTCATCACAAATGGCGACTGAACATTGTGCTGCCACTTGATCCATTTACTCCTGGACCCTGTCAACTCTCTCTTCCCTCGGGAGGACATGTTTACACAGCTTTTGTTTGTTGCACTAGAAGAAGCCACGAGGCTACGTGACCGGCTAACACTGAGTCACACAATCATGAGCACGATGAGGCAATACACAAAAAATTAAATACAGTCTCCGAGGCTGGAGGGCACATGTACACACAGTGGAGCTAATGGTGTGTTAATACATGTGATGTTTCTTGTATCCGTCTTCTGAAAACCGTTGAGCAGTCACATGGTGTCGGTACCACGTAGATTTATTTTGAAATTTCTCCCTGCCTGTCTTTGTATCTACAATTTGGAGAGGAAGCATGTCCTCAATGTGAGCACAGCAGCTGTCGCCTGTCAAATGGGCTTTTAAAGAGGGTGTGGGTGGCAGTGTGTGTGTGTGTGTGTGTGTGTGTGGGTGTGTGTGTGGGTGAATGTGTGTGTGTCATGCCTGCTTGGCAAGCAAATGGCAGCCACAGTGTCAGGTTGTGCAGAGCCACACACCCTTTTCATCTCCGTCCAGCTGTCCTCTTTTCCCATCTTTCCCATTTGTAGGGCTGCACCTAAGTGACACACACACGCAGACCAACACACACACACACACACACACACACAAACAGAAAATTCACAGCTATCCACAAATAAATCATGGTAACATGGTTATTTTAAAATTTAGATCCTTCTGTTAACTCATCTCCTTTTTGTACTTTCAATTTTCTGATGCGTTCTGTTTACACTCCCCTGTAACGTCAGACAGTAATTGTTTATGACTCCTTTTTATGAGGCAGCTAGGAGGACAAATAAAGAAATTATGTCGGTCATTAAGCCCTACAGCCGCTTTCTTCCCTTGTCCATTACAAAATCATTACATCTGCCCTCTCCTCCCGCTCCCTCTCCGTCCCTCTGCGGTGATGTTGTGTTGCTGTCGTGCATGAAAGCTTTGAAACAACACTGCAAAAGGAGGAAAATCCTAAATCAGCAAGTTGCATATTGTGTATTTTATTCATTGCAGGGTCAGTCTGTGTTGTTCCAACTGAGGATATAAAACCATTAACTCAGAAAATACAAGAATGTCCGGATGTTATCTTATGAAAACCAAGTGGTGGCATGTTTTCCTCACATTTGGCTGAAGGCTGCTGCTCAGATTAATTACTTAAAAAGCAGATAATTAATATGCTTGTACAGTGTCTTCCTCCCTGCAGCCTGAGGGCCGTCAGCATGTGTTTATCTGTGTGTGTGTGTGCACTCGTGGTTTCACTGCTGCTCTCCCAGGAGGGTGGGGCAGCAGACATATGGCTGCATGCATTGATTTTATTGATTCTTTGATCTTCACATTTTCTTCCTTTTTGTCTCGTTTTGTTTCGGCTTTACGGAGCATTTAGAAGTCACATATCTTTATTTGGGCAATTGATAGGTTTGCTGTGATTTTCCAGTTACTTTTAAAGGCCCAGTGTGAAGGATTTCAGGGGATGTAGTGACAGAAATTAAATACAAGTATGTTGTGTATGTATAATCACCTGAAAATAAGAACTGTTGTGTTTTTGTGACCTTAGAATGAGCTAATTATATCTACGTAGGGAGCAGGTCCTTGTTTATGGAGATTGCCGTGTTGCACCACCATGTTTCTGCCATAGCCCCCAACGGACAAACCAAACACAGGCTTTAGATAGGGTCATTCACGGTTTTACATAGGCCACTGGCCTCTCTGCAACGAGAGTGTCTGAAAAACACAAATTTTTCTAACATGACATTGCTTAATCAACCTTTTTTCCCGGTTTAATTCACTTGTTCTGTTTGTTTTGGAGAAGAAGAGACCTCTGCAGGTAATTCAGTTCTAGCTAAAACCCTCCTGAACAATTACCACTGAAGGAAATCAAACCTGGAGAAGTTTCAGCTGCTTGCAATCCTCAATCCTCACCACTAGATGCCACTAACCCCCCTAAATCTTATACACTGTACCTTTAAGGGTGCGTCTCAGAATTGTGGCTGTGTCCATGAGCTCATATGTTATGCAGGTTTGATCTTTACAAATATAAATGAGTAAAACTGTTATGTTCTCTGAATTATGTGCCGTAATAGAGTCTAAATGTGCCTTTTTGAAAAGAAACATTATGCAAATATCTTCTTCCTCCTTAAATAATGACACTAAACAATACAAATGTTCTGTTTTCTCCTTTTGCATTTAAGTGGTTGGTCTTTGTTCAGTGCTCCTCAGTGAAATGCCCCTCCTCACTGTTGGTACACTGCATTTGCATTGCAGATCGTTGCAGTTGAGACGTGCTGTCAGAGGGCCCACTCCCTCCAAAAAATTTTCTGCCACTCAAAGCACAAAATGAAACCACAAGCTCAGCCTCCGGGGAGCAAACAGCTCTGGTGAACTCGACCTTTGGTGCTTAACATCGTTGCTCATGTTTAATCATAGAAGTCATCAGGTATTTGAGTGGGCGGGTCATTTGCATCGCCGGGCGCTAAATTACCTGAAGGAGTTAAAAGAGGTCGATAATGATGTATGTGTGAGGGCCACTTAATCGATTTCTCCGTCGGTCAGAGTCGCAACAAGCAAGGACAAACAGATTTAATGTGCAACAATGACAATGAGAGGGTTGTTGCTGATTGGAGTTGATCTTTTCATTTTTTTGTGATTTATCGGATCATTTAAGGGTTTGGTTTCCTGCTGTTGGTCTGGAGAACGCCACGAGCTGAAAGCTCCAGCGGCAGCGTCGTCCTCAGATCTGCCTGCGTGATTAATCTGCTCATTGCCTGCTCTGCTTTTTGGCCATAACTCATTTCCCCCTCTTGTTTGCAAAACTGCTCTAAGCTCTCAGAGGGGGATCTGGCAGCAGCAAATTCAATCTCCCAGCTCTCAGTATTACCCTCAGCGACCAGACCTCGCCATACTTCTTCGACCAGTTATTAAAGCCTCACGCTGCCTGTTGCTCTGGTCACATCAAATACACTGTGAATTCCTGCCCTGCAGTGTTTCCACTAGAGAAAACAATCCCTTTGACATCCTTTGTACATCAGATTTCCACAGCACCAAAAAGCAGAATGTCCTGTTAACTGTGTCGTTGGTTTTCTCCCAACAGGTCGCAGGGGAACAGAAATATCACCCAGAATGCTTCACCTGTCTGAACTGCAGGGCATTCATCGGAGATGGAGACACATATGCTCTGGTGGAGAGATCCAAACTCTACTGGTGAGCCTCAAGCACAATATTACAAGACTTGCACCCACTGAATATCACAGTCAAATCAGACTGTGAGATGTAGACGTTGTTACATTCCTCAGTCTTTAACTGGCTTCATTTTTAACACAATTAAAGCTTCTGCAGTTTGTGGTGTGGTAGCTCCAATTCCCTGCTAATTCACCAAACTATTTTTTCTTTTTTTAGTCCATTTTTCCAGTTTCTCTTCTCACTTGAAATCCCTTTGAAGTGCAATAAAACCACATAAAACGCACAAGAAGACAAAGCTGCAGTTGAGTGACAAAAGCTTAAATTTATGCAGCTCATTTTGAGCTTCAAAGGATTTTTTCGATGTTACTACCAACTGTGGCAACAACTGAGTGAGTGAATGGTGGAAATTCACAGCAATCACGGTTTTACCAGACATGTTGGGACTTTTTGTTTGAAATTTGGTGCTTTTGGCATTTTGTTCCAAATGGAAAAGTACAAGAAACTACTTAAAGTACAGTTGTTTGACGCTGTGGCAGAGATGAACTGTGGTAAAGAAGATTCAGAGAGGATCTTTTGTATATTAACAGCTCTGAAAGTCTCTGTTTTAATGGCTCTGATAGTAAATCTGCAAATTCAAATCCAGTACATTATAAATAATTTCCCTCTCAGGTCTTTTTGTGTCTGTTTGGGGCTCAGATTGTTTGACTCGTGTGGCTCTGCAGTTGTGTTAGTGTGACTGTCATAAGCCTCAGGCTTCAAAAACAGAGAGTTCAGTGTGCAACAAGCTGCACTACACAAACAGATACATTCGGACAGAAGAGCCTTTGTCCTGGTCTCTGAGTGGAAGTGGATGATGACAGTGTGATTGTCTCAGATCATTACATTCATTGAGAGGTTTAGTAGTTTGGGTCAGATTGGTGCGCTTTAAAAAGAAAGTCATCCAAATTAAATTTCAGCTCTGGTGTGTTAGTTTTGAATCATTTGATAGGTATTTCATGAGTCCTCCGTACATTCTGATCATTCTTCATGTGTTTGGGGAGTGAGAGTCAGCTCAGTGTTTTCCCAGCTAAAGCAACATCTTGTCAACATCATGTGATGCTGTAAAAACTAGGCCTGTAGAGAATAGCTTTGCAAATTCATTCATAACACTGACATTTAAATCTTAAATCAACATTTGAAAGCTGCGCAGCTTTTTAAAAAAAATTGTATTCATTCTGTTGTATTCTTGGACAGTTGCAGATAAAGATTTAGCTACATATACTATTTGTAGAAATAGATTTTAGTAGTGCCTACATGTTTCCGACTCATGATCCAAATATATCCAATAACTCCAGCAGAGCTGCAATAATAAATTAAGTAATTGATTTGTTTTCAGCTATTAGATCATTAACTAATAATAACTAATACCTGTTAATCAGTTAATTGCTTTACTTTTGTTAGTAAAAAAAAAGTCAAAATTTTCTGATTCCAGCTTCTTAAATGTGAATATTTTCTGGTTTCTTTTCTCCTCTGTGACAGTAAACTGAATATCTTTGGGTTGTGGGGAAAAAAAGACATTTGAGGACGGCATCTTAAGCTTTGGGAAACACTGAACAACATCTGTCAGCATGTTCTGACATTTTGTAGAGCAAACAACTAATCAGTTAACCCTTTAAAACCAGGAGCAGCATCATGTCTTCTGCCATGCCTTTTGCAAGTGTGTAAACCTTGGAATCCTGAGCAAACTGGTGCGATTTCTTTCAAAAACGCGGTCAGAAAATGATTTTTAAAAAACAAGAAAAAAAGCTAGGGAAAACTATATTTATTAGTGTTACATTTTGAAATTATGTTACAAAATTTTTTTCAATAACTTTTAAGCATCTTTTCCAAGTCATTTCCTTGTTTGTTTTTAACTTTCTTTCTTTTTACTAATTTCTTGCAAGTTTTTGGGTTCATTTCTTCTTTCATTGCTCATTGCCTTCTTCCCATGTTTTTGAAAGAAATCAAGCTGATTTGCTCACGTTTAAAAGGGTTAATCGACAAAATAATCAATAGATACATCGACAATGAAAATAATTTAGTTACATAGTTGCAGCTGGGGCTGTGTATCATTTGAAAAATGATGATACCAGTACCCTTGAAGTGATGCCGGTACCAATAGATCACTTCATTTGATATATTTTTTCTACTTTGATACCCATTATATGAACAGAAGCATTAAGTTGCATAAAATTCCCCCAAGCTGCCAATTCCATCAGATACATTGCGCCAGGTACAAAAAGGATCAGATGTAGGTATTGTTTGACTCAATATAACTTGGCACTGGGTTATTTCGGTAGATACCTAAGAGGTATCGAGTTCAAATACCCAACCTCATTTGCAGCCCTAAGCTCCGAAGTTTTGTAAAGACCATAAGTCAAAACTAGTTGAAAAAAGATAAATGTAATCATCATTTGAACTATCAAAGTATTCTGCTTTAGTCCATATTTGTTGGCATTTAGCCTTTCAAAAACAAAAGTTTCACTCAGGTCAGAAAACTGTTTGTATTCCCGCTTGCCGCAGGTAAGGTGGTCTAGCAGCAATATAACAGCACCACATATGGCATTTATTAATTAATATAAGTTGATTTAAAGAAGACTAACCCATTTAATCTGATGAATCATTTTATTCAAACTGAGGATTTTGTTTGAGATTTTTTTATTTGGGGGGGGGGGGGGGGGGGGGGGGGGGGGGGGGTGATACTGTCATAAAATGTGACAACAGCTTCATTCAAAAACCTCAGTAGAAGCTTCGTACAGCCCTCGTAAAAACTGAGAACTTGATGTTCCCCTCATGACTGCATGGACAACTTTAGAGCCAGACCCCTCACCAGGATTCCCATTTAACTTCTCTCCTCCTTAAAATATCTCTATCCTCCCTCCTCTTCCTCTCTGGCTCCAGCGGTCACTGTTACTACCAGACCATCGTCACCCCGGTGTCGCTGCCGGACTCGCCATGCTCACGAATCCCTCACACGGTCACACTCGTGTCCATCCCGGCCTCCGCCGAAGGCAACAACGGCCGCAGAGGGCGAGGTTTCTCTGTTGCCATCGACCAGCCGCTCAGCCCAACCAACGGCTACAGTCCTGAACATGGACACACCGTCAGAGTCTCCCAGTGAGTCCGTCTCTCCGTGTTCCTGTGTGTGTGTTTATGCATATTTTGTGGATTGTGTGAAGAGAAGAGACAATGACTCCAGTAGAGGTTAGCATGGTGGAGGACAAAGAGTGAAGAAGGGCAGACAGTGTGATAGATGAGATTCATTTGGGATGTATAATAGAGGGGAAGGAAAAGGAAATGAGCAGAAATCTAAGTCACTGTTATTCAAATGAGCCGAGGCTTTATCAGATCTGAGGCCTGCGTCTGAACGAACATGTTTCATTGTGTGCAGAAAGGTGTTAATTTTTTCTGCTCATCTCATTGCTCTTCTGTATCCAGGGTGGACGCAGACTGCATCAGTCCAGATGTGAAGAACTCCATTCATGTTGGAGATAGGATCCTAGAAATCAACGGGACGCCCATCCACAATGTCCCACTGGATGAGGTAATGACCACACTGAAATATTTCACCTTACTGTAAATATGCAAATGGAAATCTTGATCCCGTTCTTTACTCATTGCAGCACTGTGAAGTATTCAAGTATTCATCTATTAGAGCATTTCTCTAGCTACAAAAACAATCTTTGCTTCTCAATTCCGAACTCTTCGTCTCTAGATCGACCTGCTGATCCAGGAGACAAGCCGGCTGCTGCAGCTCACCATCGAACACGACCCTCACAGTCAGGAGCAGGAGGGAGGCTCCTCAGGGGCTGAAGAGCAAGGCGATGGCCCCCTATCGACTCCTCTGTCAGAGGGCCCCAGCCCCATCCTGCCCATCACACAACCCCCACACCCTGACATCAACAGTCTGAGGTCCCGCATCATCACGTAAGAAACAGAGATATTGTTTTTCACCTGGGGTGTCTCCCCTTAATTGCCGAAAATTCATTGTATTCCTTTAGGCTCAGCTCAGACTGAGGTAGCAACATGATGGAGAAGTTGTAGAGTATTTTAGCTTCTTCCTGCCCAAATATACTGCACCTGTCCTTCATCAATAAAAGCTTCAATGAAACTTCACACCTTGCACTCCTTTCCTTCTCCTCTTTCTCTTCCTCTAACTCTTCTCATGTCCCCTCTCACCCTTCAGGAGGAGCTACAGTATTGATAAGTCACCAGGCTCTAGCAATGCGGCGTCTCCCATCTCCCAGAGGAAGGACATCAATCGATCAGAGTCGCTTCGCGTCGTGTCCAATCAGACGCATCGCATCTTCCGCCCGTCTGACCTCATCCATGGAGAGGTGCTGGGGAAGGGCTGCTTCGGACAGGCCATCAAGGTAGAGCTGGGGGCAGGGACACTCCTGTCTGTGTGTAAAGTACATGTGCAGCATGCATCAAATGTAGTCATACTCACATTGTCCAGCAGATGGCAGAGTTTCAAAATGTCTGCTTTCCATGCTGACATATAGAAGGTGGAATACCAGTTTGTTGCTCAACTCTGTTTGTATTTTCCATCACTGTGTGGTGTCATAGGTGACCCATAAGGAGACGGGGGAGGTGATGGTGATGAAGGAGCTGATTCGCTTTGATGACGAGACTCAGAGAACATTCCTGAAAGAGGTGAGTGGAGATGGACAATCCCAGATGGCGTCATTAAGGAGTGTATTCAAAGCCTGAATCAACTCGTTGTCCTAAACAGAAATCTGCAATCAATACGTGTCGACCTCAGATTATAAAACAACCAGTGTGTTCATAAATCATTTCCTTGAATACAAACATTGCAACAGTCAGTGAAATGAGGGCAGTCAGTACCGCAGAGCTGAAGAAAGTTTGTTGCAGGTTTGAATTCAGGACCAGATGGGCAAATCTGTGCTGAGAAAGTAAAAGAAAAACATTTTTTTGTACACGACCAGAAGGTGAATAATGTAGTTAAAATTAGCAGCGCCTCTGTGTGAATGTAGGGCATGACTGAATAAAAAAGAAAGAGTTCTCTCGCCTGAATAAATGAAAGTAAAATACATGAAATTACCTCTGAAATGGGACAGAAGGGAGTGTTAACACAATCCTTCCTCCCAAGAATGATGGATGAGCAGAGTTCATTTCACCTCCCACACAGAGCTTCATCTTTCTCCTATCCTTCCATTAATCTAAAGAGATAACAGAGACCGACTCATGCACAGAAGTTTAGACTTCTCTAAGACTTATTGGGTTATTTTTACCCTTGAACTGATCCAAATTACTCCTGATGTTCCTGTTTGATGTTCAGTGTCGTAAACTCGCTCATCCAGCTAACAGCTTTATAATTGGGATGTTTGAAGTTCAGGAAAATCGTTCCCATATGCGTGGAGTATTGGATTTATTTTTAGGTTACGATATCACAGAGTCTTTGCTTTGTAATTGGTGCAGACAACGACAGAGTAGAAAGAGCGGCTATAAAACAAACCCCGACCACAATGAGGCATGATTATTACTCCCACTGGCTGTTTGTTTGTAGGTGGCCGGAGTCTCACATTACGGAGTCTCTTGTGATCTTGTTGAGGAAAGAATGCACCGAACATGTCAGACAAAGACATCATGAGGGCTGAAGGGTAATATTTCAGGTTTATGTGTGTGTAGCAGTGACCTCCTCCTCCTCCTCCTCCTCCTCCTCCTTCACAGCCCTCCAGGAGGGAAATATTTTATGAGGTGTCATACTGTCATCATGCTGTGAGGACTACTTGTAACCTCTCACACCACATGTGCTGGGAAGCTTTGCCTTTGCTCAGCGCTCTGGATTTATTTAGCAGTCTGAACTATGCAGGAAGTTTCTCTGTTGCCTTTAAAATCAAAATAAAGAGAGCAGAAATCTGCAAAGGTGCTCACTCAGGCCAGAACAAACCTTGTATCTTAGGATTTGGTTCAACTGAAACCGAAACTAAAATGTCAGTTTGTGAAGACATCAACATATATCTTTGTATTTGCTTTATTTCACGTTTAAATATTGGTGACTACATGTGAAATAGATGCAGTTATTAAACTGAACACAGGGTGGAGCACTTCTGTGTGAAAGGCATGTACTGTAGGTAAGCTCCGGTGTCGGATGGGGAGGCAAACAGTTTTTGACCTTGTTGTGGAGGCATGTTGAAAAGCTCACAGGCGTCGCTCCATTAAATAGGCTTCGTACTGCTGTCTGCACGCGTCTCCCGCAGTGGCATCAGTGTTTCTTCAGCTTATGTAAATCCTGCTAGTCGTCATAACAAAAATTCTCATGTTGTGATAGTAATTGTCATTGATCCGTGTCTCAAACTATGACATGTGTGGTCCTTGAATTTGAGGCAATTGGGCCTGGGAAGTCCTTAAAGGTCATTGAGTTTGATGTTTAAGAACACGGGAAACCCTGAAGTTTAGTCTGCACATTTAATTGACAAGTCTCAAGCAACCTGACTCCCAGAAATTAACTGGTACACTTCATTGCAGCTGGAAAAAATCGTCTAACTTAATCATGACTCTCAAATGTTCATACCCAATATAGTATCATTAGATTATAAGTTAGAGGAATAGTTTGACATTTTGGGAAATAACTTAATGAGCAGGATGAAAATACTGATCTCATGTGTGTACTGTAAATATGAAGTTTAGTTTAGCCCAAAGACTGCTCATAACCCAGCACATAACCACCCTTAAAAACCCAACTTGTTGTTTTTACACTTCGGTTTTTGTACAGATGACACAACCAAGGTGTAACATGTTAGATTGTGAGCTTTAGAGATTTCTTTACCTTTAAACGGAGCCAGGATAGCTATTACCTATTTCCAGTCTTTATGCTAAGTTAAACTAACCAGCTGCTGGCTAGCTTGGTATTTATTTGTATATGGGAGTGGTATCAATCTTCTCATCCAATGGCAATAGAGGGAATAAGTGTATTTACCAAAGTGTCTTCAACTTGTCCAAAGCTAATATTCAGTGTGAGTGTGTAAAAATGTCTTGACGCTGTCTCATCAGGTGAAGGTCATGCGTTGCCTGGATCATCCCAACGTGCTCAAGTTCATCGGAGTCCTCTACAAGGACAAGAGACTCAACTTCATCGCAGAGTACATCAAGGGAGGCACCTTGAGGGAGATCATCAAGAAAATGGTGAGAGGGCAGCGTGTGCCTGTGGACATACAAGTGTGTCTACTTCCTGTTCTATATTCAAAATGCATTCAGTAGACCTTAAAGTAACTGAGGAAGTGGTGCGATCTTGCATTGCCTCAGGTGGAGTCTTTGTGTTGGATTAATCAGCAGCTAAAGTGACACTGAAGATATTTGTAATTTTTGCTCACAGGACAGCAACTATCCCTGGAACCAGCGGGTCAGTTTTGCCAAGGACATAGCTGCTGGGATGGTGAGTTCAAAGACTGAAAAGTGTTTTTAACTTTGGTAGTTTCTTTCATTAAAATAGTGCACCTATGAAACCTCCTCAGACAGTCAAATTGCCTTAATATGCAGCAGTGAAGGAAGGTGCACTGCTTCCTGTTCCTGTCTGCTGTCTCCCTCTAGTGGTCATAATAGCGAGCTGCAACACTTCCACTAATAATGTGTGCTCAGTCTTTTCTATCCCCCGCTATGGAAATTAGAGCATGAATTCCTGCAAGATTAGGCCATCAGTTCCCAATGTTTTCCCTTGATATGAGTACAATGATGAATGCCATGTATGACTGAATTATTGTATTTACAACGACAGCTGTTTGGGATGAAACAAAGCAGGATTGTTCCACTTGGCATGGAGAGTAGGGCATCACAAAAACACTTCCATTTTCTGTTTATTTATTTTGTATTCTTCATGCCTCTCTGTCCTCTCCTCTCTGTCTATCTGTCTGTCATCCAGACGTATCTGCATTCCATGAACATAATCCACCGGGACCTGAACTCACACAACTGTCTAGTCCGAGAGGTAAGAACTTGTGTATTCCTCTGTGTGTGTGAGTGTGTGTGGACATACCTATGTATATATCTATGTTTTCTTTTAAGAGTTCAACACAGTGCACCTGTCACTTGCTGGGCCACTTCAGAGACAATAAACAAAGGAGAGCCTTGTTAGCAGTAGCTATAAGAGACTAAGCCTTCTTAAAACACACTCCACTGACTTGCAGCAGAAAGTTCTAGCTACTCAAACAGAGGAAGTGCATGTGTCACATGAAAACAAAAGGTTTGTATTGTTGAGCCTACATCTGAAGTGTTTGGAAAATCCACACTAAGAGGAATTAAAATGTTAAACTTCCTTATATCACTCTCTCTGGCAGTATCAAGCAGCATATATCCTTTCAGTCTAATAACATTTTATGTTAAATTGCCTTTGTGTAGAACAACACAGTGGTGGTGGCAGACTTCGGGCTGGCTCGGCTCATGGTGGATGACAAGCACGAGGAGAAGTTGTCGCAGGGTAAACTGCCCGGCCTGAAGAAGCCTGACCGCAGGAAGAGGTACACCGTAGTGGGAAACCCCTACTGGATGGCTCCTGAGATGATCCATGGTATGATATGCAGCAGTGATTCTCAAACGTTTTTGTGTATTGTACCACCTTTAATGTGTTTTTGTAGCCAGCGCAAAACATTTTTAATAGAGACACACAGTGAGCAAATTAAAACCTGATTGTGGTCGTTGCGGCAGTTAAGGATTGCACTGAAAATAGGAATAATGAATACAAAATCCCAGGGTGAGGGAGCCCTTCTGTGCGGGGTTTGCATCTTCTCTCTGTGTCATTGTGGGTTTTCTCTGGGTACTCCGGCTTCCTCCCACAGTCCAAAGACATGCAGGTTAATTGGTGACTCTAAATTGTCCGTAGGTGTGAATGTGAGTGTGAATGGTTGTCTGTCTCTATGTGTCAGCCCTGTGATAGTCTGGTGACCTGTCCAGGGTGTACCCTGCCTCTCGCCCAGTGTCAGCTGGAATAGGCTCCAGCACCCCCACGACCCCCAACAGGACAGGCGGTTGTAGAAAATGAACGAATGAATACAAAATGTGGTTTATCAAACCTACATTTACATTTTTATTGAACTTATTATAGTATAGTTAAGGAATTATGCATGATACATTTTTTTAATTAACTTTGTTTTTTTTTTTTGTTTGTTTTGTGTTTTTTTTAAATCTGAAGTACACTTTGTAGTACTCCAAAGTACCCCTAGGGGTACCCATATCCCCGTTTGAGAAATGGTGATCTACTGGGATGCTTGTGCTGTTTTAAATAATATATGGACCAATTAATTTATGTAAATCCAGTGTGTGAGATTTAGGGGCATCTATTGGCAGAATGGCATATAATATTCATAACTATAATGTTAATGTTACCTTAGAATGAGCCATTTACATGTACATACCACACGTTTCCTCTTCCTCAGAGTCCACCTGTTGTTTTTACAGTAGCTCAAAATGGACAAACTAACCACTGGCTCTAGACAGGGTCATTCACATTTTAGCATTGGTCACCATAGTTCTCCTACACGCTTGGCACATGGGCAAAGTTTTAGTCCTGCAACCTCAACTCTAAATGCCACTAAATCCTACACACTGGACCTTTAAACCCAGTCACACTTTACTGAGATGAAGAAAACTACTCTCACTGCAGTGTGACAGCTGTTGACTTTACATTGCATTCCTTTTAAAAATTAACAACAGCCCCATTTTGTCATTTCTGTTCCCAGGGAAGAGCTACGATGAGAGAGTCGACATCTTTTCCTTTGGTATCATGCTCTGTGAGGTGAGTGACCTTCCTCTCTCAGTACTCATCATAACCCAACTCATTTTTTTATTTCTTGAAAGAGGCAATTGTTTGATAAGCAGAACTTAAAGCACCTCATAGCTTTGTCCCAAAAGCTTAAAATTCAGCCAACCTGTCATTTGTAAAAGTTGCTGTCCTTGTAACTTTAAAATTAAATCCTTTCAAACCCTCTGAACTCTGACGTAATTAAGCTTTGTTTTATTTAATATTCATTGAATTTTACCAACGTTTATCACCTACAAACTCTTTTATTATCTCTTCCTGGCACAAATTCAGTTAGACTTTCATTTGTGCAAAACTGCTCCTCTCTCCATTTTACGTCTTAGTCTGGCATTAACTAAACTTTTCTGTAAATTAAGGAAAATTCAGTGACCTGTCAAAAATGTTAGCTCCTCACATTATTTGCAAAACACCCATTTCCTTTTATGAGGGAAAGTCTCGCTCCTCCAAAATTCCAGATATTTGCTTTCCAAATGAAAATCCAGCCCCAAAGTGTGGTGAGCTTTGGGCCTGGCCACACACACCATCCACATAATTTGGACTCAACAGCTTAGTTCAGTCACTGCGAAGCCCCAGGATATGACTTCCCCAGATGGACACCATTAGCCAGAGAATATTTCAGGGATTAGAGGGAGCAGAAAAGCAAAGTTGTCTTCATGTGGCTTCTGACAGGCACACAAACGGTAGTTGTGGTCTGCTGGCAACGATCAGCCTCAGTTTAGAGGTTTAGTGCTTTTCAGCAGATCGGCACAGGAGGATCCATGTTTAACTCTTTCTCAGTCTCTTTGTTTCTCCTGCTGTGTCCAGATAATTGGCAGGGTGAACGCAGACCCAGACTACCTCCCCAGGGCAATGGACTTCGGACTGAACGTGTCTGGCTTCCTGGAGCACTTCTGTCCCCCTGATTGTCCCCCCGCCTTCTTCCCCATGGCTGCTGTGTGCTGTGACCTTGATGCAGACAAACGGTCAGACATCTATACATTTAAATTAACTACAATTCAAGTTTACTACAATTGCAAATAAATTTTACTTTTTATTCATTGGATTAAAATGTACTATATCGGGATATGTATCGTTATCGGGATATGAAATGACCTATATCGTGATATGAGATTTTGGTCATATCGCCCAGCCCTAGTGGATCCTCTACTGATTCCCACCCCTAGAATGCACCATGCATGTCTTATTTTCCGAGATTACATTTCTTATTCTATTTTTTTATTGATCCAACTGCAGACAGAGATGATGCACGACATATTAAACTGTTTCATAGTCTGATTTTACAGCCCGTTTGTTTGAACGGTACGAAAAATGAAAACAGCACCTAGCAGTACTTTTTTTTTTTAAAGAAGATCCCACAGTAGAACCAGCCTCTGCATGGGACCACATGTACAGATATATACTACTAACCTGAAACGCTTGAGTAGGGAAACAATAATTTGACCAATATTTTGTCATACATATGATTAAAAATGATCTTGAAAAGGATTTAAAAGCATCAAATCCAAGTTTCTGATACCTGCAGACACCCTGCAACTGTTAAACCACTGGAAATCACACTGACACTATCTGGAGAGATAGCTAGAATTTGGGATGAGTGTGCGTCTTATTGTTTTTTGGTTGTGAATATAGATACAATACTCTAAACTGAGATTCCTGTCTACTTTCTTCATCTTTAGGCCTGCTTTCTCCAAACTCGAGGAGTGGCTGGAGAACCTAAAGATGCACTTGGACATCGGTCTGCCGCTGGTGTCTGAAGTGGACCAACTGCACAAGGCCTTCTGGGAGAACCACAGCATTACACGCCCTGAAAACGGCCTGCACACTCACCCCGAACAGCCGGAGTAGGGCTTAACATGACTGGAGGGAGTGGGAAGTTAACGTTAACCCCGCACGGGCAGCGATCGCCAGCCTCGGGCAGTGCAGTGGCTGGAGGCGTCGTGTAAATAGTCCTCCGTGTTTGGAGCTGCAGGCGTAGGCTGGCTCAGGCTTAACGAGTAGACTCAGGGGGAAAACGTGGATCTGAAAAGCCACCTGTGCACGACGCGCGCACACACACACACACACACACATTTAAAGTCAAATCAAGAGACATTAACTACGATAGCTTGATCCTGCTGCACCTGAAGCTAAAGTAGAACATATCATATGCAATCAGACCCAACATTCAAATCATGACTCAACTCTTGAATCATGTAGATTTCACATTAGTGGTCAAACCATTCAAGAATACTTACTGTACTTACTGTAGTGTGTATATTCATGTGGACAACAAGTCCCAAAAACAAGGCAGACCTTCAGCCTCTACAGAGTACATTGTGCAGTATGTGTTTGCAGGTGTTTCTGTGTGACTTTGGTTTGATTTTGCTTTTTGATTTGGATATCAAAACTGGACTTGCAGAGGAGAGGGGCCCGTCTGTCGCTTAAAGTGGAAACAGACAACTTTTTAACTTTTCCCCCTCTAGTGTTTCCAACTGGCATTATTGTTGGCGCCACTGTCACAAAGAGAACCGAATCGCCTTCTGTTTTCCTCAGAGCCTAGCAACAACCAACAACACAGGACACACTACATTTCATTTTTACATTAGGCTTGGGTAGTATCTATTTCTTCATAACTCCTTACCTCCCTGAAATTTCAACAGGGTATACGGCTACCTAACCCCTCACCCCCCAACCTAACTAGAAAGTTTGCTAAGTTCTGCAAGCTGTCCTAGGTTTTTCAGTCAAATTAACAAACAAAAATGTCAAGAAAGGTGAAATTCTTACACTTACTTTCCTTATTGAACAGAGAAACACAACCATACAGCTTCTAAATGAAAGTTACTGTCTTTCACTAAACTAAGACTAGCTTAATCGCCTTGTTAAGTGATGGTAAAACACACTTCATTCAGAGTCGACAGAAACAAAAGTCACCAAAACCATCTTGGTCAGTCTTGTTGGACATTTCATTAGTTAGTCTGGTTTGGTCAGAATAAACCCTTAAAATATGCTGTTTTCCGCTAATGTCTCTCTACAGTTGCTAGCCAGTTGTTGACAGTCCTGTAACGTTATCCCCACCGCTGGCAGTTGTCATGTTCCTAAGCTCAGCCGCCTGTTCCCTAAGTATTGACTGACCTCTGGTGGCACATGATGAGCACTACATACAATACAGCCTCTCCATATGAGTTTAATAAAAAGAGGAGCTACTGTATTTTTTTTACAGTATTGAAAATCATTCTGTCAGAATGTCTTAATACCCTGGTATACCATAATGCTGTGATACCGCCCAAGCCTATTCTCCCCAGTTACTTCAGTTGTTCCAATATTTGCCATTTCCACTACTGCAGACAGTAACTGCAAAGACCTTACACTGATACTCTTTGGTAACTGGGGATGACTACTAATACCCACCGGGGAAAACAAAAGTGCTGTCCTCTTTCTGTTTTGGTTGCACAATGTTTAACGCACTACTTTTGTGCTGTAAATCAAGCCTAAGAGAGGCTTATAGGGAATCAAGCTATACGCAGATGATGTCATTATTCTATAGCCATTACATTGTGCAGTTAACATTACTTCATAATGATGAGCGAAAGCATAAAAACTTGTTGATCTCCACTTTAAGACGCTAAGATTTAGATCAAGTTGCTGTCCACTTGTACAAGTCAAACAAAACCTTTTAAGCTTTAAATAGTCCACTGAAGAATGCATGAGTGTAAATAATGCTGTCAGGTCATATCCTGGTTCATTGTGTCGCTCTGACCTCATTTGGTCATAAACTATGAGACCTACCTACATGCGTCTGTGGCCCCTCTCCCTCATTTATTGTGTAGCACTGACTTTAACAGGTTCACATCTTTTGCATAAATTTGGTACGTTGTCTCCCGATTTTAAGAGTGTATCTCGTTTATATTGACGTGGCATCTTAAACTTTCAGACGCATACCAGTGTACGTAGCTGGCGACATTGTAAATGTTTTAAATATTGTAAATGTACAGACATATTTTATATACGTATGCTACATTGCCATATTTTTATTGGCCGACCAGTTGAAATTGAGAGTTAAAGTTTGACTGCAGTCATTAGGGCACAGCTGAAAGCTTTATTGTTGTTTTTTTTTCTACATTTCCACCACTGTGGCAGGTTAGGGGCTTTTAGCATTTGAGATAAGAGGAATCTTATCACCATAAAATATCTCCTCCCCTCGGTTCAAGCTCAGTAAATGTTACATCCTGTCATTTCCCTCCATCCAAAAAGTATTTCTTAACATTTGATCTTGGAGTTTTCATGTATCCATAGAAGTGTGCTGGAGTAAATTTAATAATACTAGATTATTTAATCCCATCAGATGTGCTGAGCTAATTCTGCACATCAACTCTAATTATGTGTGACGTGAGAGTTTTTAGGGCGATGAATCTGTTGTTAGTTTCTCTCGTCTCATGTACTGTACAGTAGTTCAGGTGTGGGGATAATATCACCAGGTACTGCCTCATCATGTCAGCTGTCTGTCCACATATGTGTCTCTCCTCCTGTGGATGACCCACTGTTTGTTTACATGTAAATGCTAGCTGTAAATATCACTGTAAATAAGCATCTGTCCTCACATCTGTCTGCGTGCATTGCATAAATATGCGCACTCCTCAGAAATAATCTCTTCCACTGTCAGATTTCTCTCTTCTTGCACCTTCTAACATACATTTTCTGTCTCTATTTTTTTTTTCTGTTTGTATTTCCTGCTTTTGTTTCCCGAGCTGCATGATGTACTAGTTCTCCTCAGCTTCTAAACCGAGCTCTTTTTTGTCTCTAAATGATTTAATTTTAAATAAGAAAACAAAGAATGAAAGACAAAAAAAGTTGACGGAGACAGTCAAGCTAAAAATGTAAAGAGAAAAAAAACCCCACAGCATCTGTTTTTTATATATATATAAAACCACTGAAATCTTTTTGTATAGATTTGAGTACTTTAATTTGCACTATATTACCAAATGGCTGGTTGTAGCCATGTTTGTTAATTTCCTCTCTTGGGCTACTTGTGATAAGGAAATAAATTATGTCAGTTCAGGTTGATATATGAATGCAAGACACTGATAGAGCCTTTCAACTGTTAAAATGGGATCTGGGAAGTGCATCCTCTTGATAGCAAAATGTTTCTGAATATTTAGATGCATTTTTTGTGCATGGTTCAACTTTTAAATATTGGCAGGAGCCTGTTTGGTCCCTCTGTGATTTTAAAGTTGCATATCTTTAGAGAAAATGACTGTAATTTACTTTTTAAGCTTTGGCAGAAGTCTTTGAAACGTCTTTGCTGCCATGAGGATGTGATGTCCCAGCTCTGCCTGCTGCCTACAGACCGGTCCTTTGTGAATGATGTCCTGTGTTGTTTCCGACTGCTTGGTTTCGTATGTGATGCCCACAGAGGCTGCAACCACTGCTGGTCTTTCTGATAGTAGAGCACTTAAACTGGCCTGTCTCACCTCTCACCTCCCCATCACACTCTTTTGGCTCAGGGCCGTACTTTTCTGGAGCTTTCTTCACAATTCAGTTAATTCAGCAGCTTAATAGGAAAGCAGCATTCAACAGTAATAGTGAGACTCAAAGAGCATGTGACCTTCTGTTAGTGTACAGGCTGATAACACAAAATATGCTTCTGTAAAACAAGCCCCTCCTGGTTGGTGTGTTCGTCCATGGGCATGTACTGTACATGAGCGGCTTTGCCATGTTTCTGTCTCCGTTCCTGTCTGAGCCATGTCAAGCATGTTAGGTGTGTCTGTGAGGACGTGTTGAGGATCAATGAGAATGTCGCCGCAGCACTTCTCTGCAAAGGATCGTTACCTCTGAACAATGCTGTGCCTTTGTTGTAAGCTAGCCTTGCCAACAACTCGAAAACGTGAACTGATTTCCTTTTTTTTTATTGCATCATAAGTGCAAGCCTGATTCTAGTGGATTGAATATCATTGCTGATACTATGTTGTATGAGATTTCATCTTGTTCTGTATCATATTTATATTTTCCAGATCTCCATTGTTAGTTTTGATATTTTAATATTTCTTTTTTTGTGTGTTATTTAATTTTTTTACACAAGCTGTGAAAACAATTCTGCACTTTAATCCTGAACGTGAACATTTAGACTCTGAGGAGGTGACTGTTTTTTTTTTTCTCCCCTTTTTGTCACAGCTAAAAATAAAACTGTTGCTTCTAAAACAAACGAAAGACTCAAAGTGTTTTTGTACATTAATGATGTCTCTCGCATTTTCTGTTAGCTTATTCATAGTCACTCCATCATTAACTTTCCTCTCCATTTGTACTACTGAAGCACACAGAGAAGAAAGTATGACAGCTCCAATAATATGTGCCGAATCTGCCGAGTTCACATCAGAAGAGCACTGAGTTATTGGCAGAGAAAATGTGTGGGTGAAAGTGATAAAAGTAGTGCTTGTACTTGCTTGGGAAAGAAAAATGAAATTTATTAGAAATGTGTTCACAAATTGACCACCAGATGTCACTGTTTATCTCTACAGTTTATTTCTATGGTGAAAATAAAAGGGCAAGAATATCATACAGTGTAATAAAAACCCCAAATATAGCTGCTCATCTCCTCACCTGGTGGACACTATGTATATATCAAGTGTCACTCATTCTACTACTACGCACACATTGCATAATGCCAGGGGAGGATAAAGTATTTAGATCTTTTACTGAATTAAAAGGCACTACACCACAGTGTAAGAATACAAGAAAAAGCCTTGAACTCAAATTGTGATCCTTATTTGTACAGAGGTACTATCAGCTAAATTAACTTTACTTAAATACTTATTTTATGTTATTAGAGCTCATTTTCTTTCTTTAAAATGCATCATAATTGTATAAACTAATCATTTGTTTTCTATGCAGAATCTTAATTTCATAACTGTCAGAAAAAATATAGTGGAGTTAAACTAAAACATTATCCCCTAGAATGTGGTAGATTATAAGTATAATGTAGTAAAATGTAGTCAAAATAAAGGTACACAAGTAAAGTACAAGCAATGCTGGGAGTGTTACTTCAAATGTAATAAATTACAGATTACTAGTTACCCTGTTAGCAATGTAATTAATAATGTTACTATTTAATTAACTTAAACAGAGTAATGTAGGTCATTACATTTTCTCATTTTCTTGCCAAATGTTTTAACTGAGCAATAAAGCTAAAAAAAATGTCCAGAAATAAGCTATGCAGAAAGAAGAGATTCTTGCACGATGAAAAGATGCAAAGCAACAGAATAAATGTATTTTTCAACATACTGTATAAACTTTTTACCAAAAAGAATATATTTGGATATAACCTCCTTTGTATTCTCCAATTCAGGTTCAGATTCAGATTCAACAACTTTATTAATCCCACCAGGGGCAATTAGTTTGAACAGCTTGCCTTACACACATACTATAACATAACAGTAACACGGTGACACATAAATAAATGGTAAAAAAAAAAAATAATAATAATAATAATAATGATAATAATAATAATGATAATAAAAAATATGCCAAGGAGTTCAGTTAAATAAAGGAGTGCATAAATGAATATATAAATATCTTAAATTAAAATTAAATTAAAATAAATATAATTAAAAGTTAATAGACAAATTATCATTAAAGAAATTTAAAAAACAACTATAAAATCAATTATGGAGAATTTAAAAGATGACTAGCAGAGGGATTAAAAGATTTTGAACTCTGAAACATGCAACAAGCAGGTAAAGTGAATGACATCCTGACGACAACAGAGAAAATTTGCCTCAAGAACAACATCTTGATTGTATCTGTAATTCAATTACATTTTATTCTCAGTAACAGTAACGGATCACAATTACATTTATTTTGTAGTTTGCTACTCCCAACACTTAAGTACCTCAGGTGCAAATTCCAGTCTTGTACTTTGCCAAATTCAACCACTGACTTTAAACCACTAGGCCTAGGGTTTCTATTACTACAACCACTACTACTACTACCACAATGAAAAGATACAAAGCAACAGAATAAATGTTATATTCTGCATTTAAAAAATGTTTACCAAAAAGAATATATTCGGATGTAACCTCTTTGTAATATCCAACATCTTCATTAGTATAAGTAGCCTAATTTAATTAGGCTACATTTTTCTCACTAGCTGTAACAGACTACCGTTACATTTATTATGTAATTTAATTACATGTAACTAGTTACTCCCAAACACTGAAATACCTCAGATAAAATCTTGTACTTTGCCAAATTTAACCTCTGACTTTAAGCTACCAGTGTTTCTACTACTACTACTACTATTATTACTGCAGAAGAAGAAGAAGAAGAAGAAGAATATAGTGTAGCATATCAGTTAACTTGGCTATAATATTAAAATAAGAGGGTTTTTTTAATTGCTGTATTCTAAATTATACATTTTAATAGTACTAAACACAATGACCTTGTAAACACAGTGTGAAGGTTCAGTGATAGTATTTATGTGACATTTAAATACATTTATCTTCTATCTGTTTGCGCCTCTGATGCTAACAATTACCTGTCCACCATTTTCCTGATGAATGGCGCTTTTTTTCCCCCTTACAGGTGCACGTGACCCCTCTCCCATCGCATCCACGTGCGATTGTTTTCATTCCGACGCTGCTGCAACGGCTCGTGACGTCACCGTCCTGGCTGGCTCGTCAGTTTTAAACGGTGTGTGTGTGTGTGTGTGTGTGCTGCTGCTACCAAACAGACTCTCACACACTCACTCACTCACACTCACACACACAGGGGGGACGGGTTAGTCCGGTCAAACACTACACACGGGCTGTCATTTCACCGCGGCTGTGTCGGGATTGAGAGAGGAAATTAAGGAAATACCGAAGAAGAAGAGGAGGAAGAAGAAGAAGAAGAAGAAGAGGGTCGCAGTCAGCGCTATCTGAAACTTTAAGAGATGGATCACTCGTCCAGTAACAACCGGTTTCGGTCCGCAGTCTTCAACCACGGTGAGTAGGCTATCCTCACATCTCATACTGCATGCGGGATGTTTTATTAGTTGCTCCGGTGATGCTGCTCCGGTGTCGCACATTTGGGCTGACCCACACTTGAGCCTGCACCCTCCCTGTGAATCCTGCTTTTATCCATTAAGGACACACGGAGCTGCAGCGTTGGCATGCACCGTTAAAACCCATCACAGTGCTCATATCGGGCCTTTAAGTCACATTTCACCCGTGTTTGTGAGCCGATGATAAGAGCAGAGGTTGTTTATGTGTGCAGAGAAATACCACTCACTGTACCAGAAGGTACACTTCGTCCTGCTGAACGAAAATCCCTGAAAAGCCTGGCAGTCTGAGCCCCACACGGGACACGGCAGCAGCAGCAGAGCACTGTAATTCTACAGTTATGCAAGAGTGGTACCAAGACTCGCCACAATAAACTATTTCTGGCCCACGGAGATATAGTGTTAGCTGGGTAGCACTCTGACAAACTATGGGGCTCCATGACAGACTCGCCCCATCACCACAGTGTTTGCTTTCTTACCCTACAGTAGTCGTAAAACAAGCTGTTCTGGCTCAGTTAGTTGTGTCAGGAAGCTTTACACTTCCACTGCCTCCGTACTATAGCCTGTGCAAAACCTGATCTTTGGATCAGATGCCAGTATCAATACTTTAGAGTGCAGACAATCACATGTATTGGTTATTTGAAGGAGCAGTGTGTAGGATTTAGTGGCATCCAGCGGTGAGGATTGCAGATTGCAACCAGCTGAATCTTCTCCTGTGTGCCAAGCGTGAGCTCCTGATTAGGATTCCTTCAGTGTTCATTGTTTGGGACGTTTTTGTCGAAAGCCGAACCTTTCACAGAGATCTGTTCCTCTCCAAAACAAATGGACCTGGTGGTTAAAACTGGTAAAAACAATGAATAAAGCACCTTCACTTCATAAATCAGTGTTTTTCTGACTTTGTCTCCTGGCACATGGGCCCCACACCTGCTAATATGTGCTCACCTTTTTTCTCTGAGACCTTAAGATCCAGATGTTCAGGTGGTTTTTACCTGAGGGCTAGTTATCCGCAGAGGTCTCTTCCTCTCCACAACAAATGGACCAGGGGTCTGATTTAAAAACTGCATGTGCAAAAACGAGGGCTGAAAGGGTCGTACTTCATTTCCCCACGCAAAGGTTGTGATCCATAAAAACAGATTTGATGAGAGAAACTTTGACACATGCTTACGAACATTTTGGAGAAGGGAAACCGGCGATGCAGATAGCAAGGTGGAAGCCCGATTGTAAAAATTGTCAAATATTTTTTGGTGCTTGCCATGTTTGGCTTTTGTCCGTACGTACATTTTTAGTATGGATCCTACACATTTTTTATAAATTAGACCCCTGGTCATTTAAACCGGTTCAATCACTGAATAAAGCAGTTTACGTTACGAATCAGTGTTTTTCCAGCGTTGCTCGGCGTGTCCTGGAGGGGCTTCTAACTATGGTGGCCAGCGTGAAAACACAAATGGCCCAATCTAGATCTGCTGGTTGGTTTGTCTATTCCAGGCTACTGTAGAAACATGTCAATGCAACATGGTGGAATTCATGGATAAGGACCCGCCATGAATGTATTTTGAGAAGCATACAGCATAGGTGTCAAAGCCCTGTTCTTTCCTATGAGAGTTGCTCATTGGTGCATGAAGCCAAAATGGTTCAATGGGCACCTATAAAATTACCCGGATGATCATCACGGTGTGCAGCCCATAGAGCGGGCGCATTAGAGACTTGCAGCCGAGCGCGACCAAGTGCAGCCGAGCATTATACATCCACTGCCTGAATGGCTGACTACCGATTAGCGCTCGGCTTACTTGAATGACGAAAAAATTATGTAATCTTGAGGCTCTTCTCGACTTTCGAAATGTTATCAGACTGAATGGATCAAGTCTTGATAGTAAAACGAGTCATTTTGCGGGGTTTTGTCACACAAAAAAAATGTATCCATTGATTTACAAACATCTCTTTCTCAATGTAAGTCAATGGAAAACGTCTTTTTGGGCCGCAGGGCATCACGTGACGAACCCCACGAAATTGCAGTACCACTGTTTGGCCACTACAAAATTGGCTTCAAGGCCTGGGGCCTGCTCCGTATGTAGAAAAAAACAGCTCATTCTATGCTAACGAACATGTAATTCTTATTTTCAGTTAATGCACTATACACTAAAGACAACATGTATTATATTGTATTCCAT